ATTGGCATTGCACATGTGAACCTGGGGGTGGTACTCTGTAGATCTTTGGGTGGGGGTGTGCCGCTGAGATGCTGAAACCCTTACCCTATTCTGGACAATGATCAGCTTGATATTGCAATCCTAACTAGACTGGCTATTTTCTATGCAGAAACTTTATTGCTATAGTAGTTCAACATACATGTACGCTAACTAAAACCATATAAAGTTACTTGTCAGGTTCAATTATACCCTATTCTACACCAAAACTGTCAGATTTCTAGTATGCACTAGCCCAGACTAAACTGCCTGAAATCCATACCCTTCAGAGCCGAACATACTGTACATAAACAATAACCTCCATTTGGCATAAAAATATGCATGAATATTTGCCCACGGACATTATCTGGTCTGAGAAGCGAACAGTTTGCCGAGAGCATAGCTCGAGGAAAAGTGTGAGCTTCAAGGAACAGATAATGTCCAAGGACAAATATCTGACCATATTTTTGCGCCAAATGGAGGCTCTTGTGTTTATTATCCTTCAAATCTTTTTTGCAACATGGGCGGTTTTGAAAATTGGGGAATTGATTCTTGGATATTCCCCAGTTTTAGCTGTAGATGTGAATCCCTGGAGCTGGAGAGAATTCAGAAGAGAATTCAGCTGTATTTATTTTAATAGGTCCTAAAAGCCTAGTTTTCTAATGCAAATGTTCTAATGCTGAGTAACTCATACAGTATTCTATCATGTCATCTGTACACTTGTACAAAATGGTGAGCCTTGTTTCTCAGACATTTTGGTGGAAGATTTTATTAGAAGTTCTATTGTAGAGGACAATTCAGTTCCCAAGACATTCAGCCTTAAACTACCTTAAAAACTTGAGCTTGTTGATTGAACTGATGCCGATGTGTGTACCCAGTAGCAAGCTTTTGGTTTCAAATGACAATTCAGACCATGCATGATTTCAGTCAAGTGTACATGACTTAATCAATATGAAATGTAGAGAAAATGAAAATCATTATTGGGAAGTTGGTGAGAATCCAGTAACATAATCATAATTTTATAATTGATTTTTAGTTTTTAGCTTTAAAACTTTGTAACTCAATCATTGTTTTGCAATTAGCCTGTTAAAATGCAAGCAGATTCTGAGCATCTTTAAAAGGTTAAGGAGGCTCTGAATGCATTCCCATGATTTCTTTTTTACACTTGGCTAAAAGTTGAATCTAATGGCATGGTGATTACAGTTTGATAATATTTAATACTGGAATTATTTTTTGGGTGATACAGGCTGTAATAAAGCTAAACTTAAGTTATGATTTGTCACCTTATACCAAGGCTAATGGTAACTCAGTGTCAGAAAATGACTACTGACAACTTGTTCATAAATAGATTTAATTTTATAAATGAAAGTTTAACACCATGATTATGATGGCATTAACTAAAAAAAGAGTGGTAGTATTGATTCACCAAGAAGTGCAGGAAAAAATGCTGTAAAACTTTCTGAATTATTAATTTTCAATTTAAATATTTTCATTCTCTTTTAATTTCTACTGCAGCATTTTCCCCTTTGCTCCAATGGTAAAGTTGTTCTTCATCTTGTGCCGCCTGTACCTCAATTGGAGCTTGGCGAGTTCTTTTATCAGGTTTGTGTAATCTGTAGATTTTATGGTACTTTGCTTTAAAAAGTGTTTATTTTGTTCTGGTCACCTACATGTATCATTAGCCATAAATTAATTTTGAGGAATACTTGTCTAACGAATTACCATTATGAGCAGGGAAGCCTATTCAAGGTTTTAGATATTTAGTAGGCTTCAGGACTGAATGTTGTTGGCACCACTATTTTTTTTTTAGTTATGTACATTATTATTTTGTGTGGTGAAATTAGAATTTCAGCACATATTATTTAAAATATCATGATAAAGTATAAAAATATCAATTGATGATGGTGTGGATCATTTAAAAATCGCCCCTTGTGGGGGGGAAGGCCTCTTTCTCCTGATTTTTTTCTACCCTACCAGAAGCTAATTTCCAAAGAGCTGTTTTGAACTGGTGAGGTAAGACTCTGTCCCTTGGGTCTCCTTACTTTCTCTCCAACTTTTCTTTGACATTTTTTGCCCAGTCACTTTGACTTTCTCCCACCCCCACTAACTTCCCCTGGGTCTCCAAGGATGTCTTTCTCATTGCATGTCTGAAAGGTGAGCGAATTCTTTGAACTGGTAAATGCTCCAGACCTCTTACTTGGGAAAAATTTAAGATGCGACCTTTTGTCAAGACAGGCCTTCTGATATTACACGATGGTGCAATTTCCCACAATCGACCTTAAATCGCATCCGATC